AATTTACTCCATTGCATATTCACTACAAGCAAGAATCCACTCTCATTAGAACATCAACCTTCATTTAAAAAACCCTTCAACTGATAATCAGCTCATACACATTTTTTTCCCAGTCTCTGTATACAGTCATCCACTCGTTACTTTTAGTGCCAGAGAAAGCAGCCCTTGAGCGGAGATCCAAAAAAATGAAGGGGGTGAAGGAGGCCTGACAGCCCGCGTACGAACTCACAGACTCCCCTAACTAGGCCAGGGCAAAGGCTAGAAAGTAGCTGAAAAGCGGCAGCAGAACCCATTCCTTAGCGGACAAATCCGTCCCGTTTAGCTGCTAATCTTCAGGCCACCCTCTCTGATTAAAAGCCAGTATGACAAATCAGAGAGCCAGCTTGGCGCTCTGAGGCCACCTGTCAGCCTCGACCCTCCCCTCAGCTCAATCCCAGCATTTCCTCGCTGTCTTCCAACTCCGACTTGCTTTCTCCATTTCCACGAAGCGATGCTGAATACAGAGACCTACTCCGGCCGTTCCCACCGAGTCTTCCCATTTCCAAATTCCTTTTTCTTAGCAGCTCCCGCTTTCCTTTGGGGTTGCTCACAGTGAGTCAGCAGCAGTTCCAGCCCAACTCGTCCAGGCCCATCATCAATCCCTTTCCACTAACGGCAGCCAGGTCACCTGCCAGTCTTCCACTTTTCGGCGGGCCCAACTCACCTATGGAGTGCAGAATGCCGATGGAGGCCTCGCGGTCAGTGCTCAGCAAAGACTGGGCGCGCTGGAACTCCAAGCCCGCCGCAGCCGCCATCTTAAAAAGCAAAACTCGCTCACTCACGCCGGCCGGAACCACAGGGCCTTATTTCCACCGGAAACTGTTTGTCTCACTTCCTCCCTTTCGACTTTGCTGCGTCAAGCTATAATGATATAACTCTATGATTACCCACCAGAAGCAGTGTTGGCTGGGAAATGTAGTTCTTTGTGAACATCATAGGAATCAAATGGGTGGGTTGTTGCTGCTAGGAAACCAATGAAGGCGGAGTCAGGAGGCACTGAATTACCTACGCCCTCCGCTAACGCAGCATCACAGAAGTACTGTACGTAGAATACGGAGAGTGTTAAGCGCACACAGACACACCTTCAATTGGGGACCGAAACTGATTTAGATGTTTGCTCATTTTTTAATAGTTATCACCAGACCCTGGTTTAAAATGTGAACAAGACAATTTTTAAATGTGCGAGAAGTGCCATTTCCTGTTTTTTTCACCACCCTCTCGTAAGTCCAAAGTAAAGAGACCTCTATTTCAGGTCAAAACCGAGTATTAAGCCCCAGCACATCTTTTTAGCAACTTAATGGAAAACCGCATTTTTTGAATGAAACATAAATGTTTCAAAATTCAGCAGACACAAAATCTAAGCCATTCTTCCTAAAAGTTACATGAAATATAACTGGACTTGTTAAAATAAATGTGAACAGAATCAGGAGGTAAAATAAATTCAAGTTGCTGGGAGATAAATGCGTATGTGTGTATATACACATTTCTCTCACGGCAGCTTGAATTTACTTTTATCTCCTGATTCTGTGCACATTGATAACACTTGCTATCCAAAGCTTATCATTTACATTATCTGAGAACTACTGCAGACTTGCAAAGTAGGTTAGCATTATCTCTGTTACAGAAGATCTAAAGTCTCGAATGATTTCATAGCAAAAAAGAATGATTAAATAGTAGTTTTCTGATTAACTTAGCTGTTGCGCTTACTGTAATTGCCTAGTATGTCTTACCATACACCCTGCTGTATGTTCAGTATCTTTTCTATAATATACTTAAAACTACATACCAACACACGCACACACGCACACGCACAGACACACAATAGACAGCAGATTCTTGTTAGAATTTTGGTTTCCGTGGTGATGTTTTTCCGCCACTTCTACTGCAATATGTTTCCATCCAGAACATTCTTTAAATTATATTGAAAAATGTCCCAGTTTCTCTCTATTTCTCTTGTGACATGTGACCTTGGAAAGTACACTTGTTTTCAAATACATAGCCTCTTTAAATAAACACACATACACATTTTTGTGCAATGCAACACTTCCTAGCTTTCCTGTTCTCTAAGTGCTATAGCTTCAGTACTGCAATATAATCACTGCAGACTGCAGTAGGCTCTTTATTACGAGGCATGGCAGTTCAATAGAGAAAAATCAGTAATATCAATTATCTATACTTAGGCATTTATACTGCTATGGTTGGAAATAGAATGCTGAACTAATTTTAGATTGTAAGCTGGAAGCCAGGGACATGTGTTTTTCTTTAAAAAAAACCATATTATACATCTAAATATATATGTATATATGCTCTTCATAAATAAATTTATATTCATTCCATAGCAGTTTATTAAGAATGTATTCTTTCTTTTGGCACTTCTCTTTGTTTTCATGCTCATATTTACATCTTGATCTTTTCATGAAGAATTTAAAATATCTTATGTGAGCATCCTATTTGTCTCTAGGTACAGATCAATTCTTAGCTGTACTGAACTGAGCTGTTGCATCAGTTGCTCTGAGATCATTCTCTGCACCAAACTGGGCTGAAGAAGGGGTTTTTCCCATGCTGCTTCAGGAGCTTCATGCTTGATTCAACATAAGATGTTTCTTCCCTTGCCAGCACAGAATCTACCCATTTAATTCAAGAATCTAGAGAGAGTCTGGGGAGGGCCTGACTACTTTTTGAAGCCCAGATCAGGGGACAGGACCAGTGGCCCCTACTTTTGGCATACTGCCCTCCCCAGTGGTACGGATGGCCCAAATCCTGCTTATTCTTCTCAAAGAAGTTAAAGATTTCTCAAACAAATTAAAGTCATTCTGTTTGAACATGCTTTTAGTCCTTGGTTGTTCTTAGATGTCTTGTTTATGCACTTTTATTTCATGTACATTTTCTTTTTACATTGAATGTTTTGCCTTATTATTATCCACCCAGAGCCTCTTGCTGGGATGAGAGCAGGATATAAATACTGGAAACAAATAGGTAAAATGGCTTGTATGAGGTACTCTGTGGAAGTCATTTGCTTCACCTATGCAGTCTGATCAACCACTATATGATTATGTTAAAATGTTTTTTTCTGGTTGCTTTTATCTTTTATAGACTGCTCTTCAGGATTTATGTTAGATGAGGTTCTCTACATGTGTTACTGCATGGCCATGCATCATCATTTTTTTTAAGCCATCTCCTTGGTCACTGCCAGCAGAATTGGAGAATCCATAAGAGCTTTTTTTCTGACCAGTTAGGCAGATTTATATGATAGGAAATGATCCTTCAGGTAGTCAAGTCTCAGACCATTCTGAGCAATATAAGTAACAAAGACCTCAATACAGTGCTCAGAAATAGCACCTTGGATTAACACCTGGGGATCTGGGTTTTGCATTCAGTGACATTTTGTAAAATGTTTAAAAACATCTGAGTACAGTACTGTACATTCCAGTAACCCCATCAGAGCACCTTGGCCAGGCTGCCCCTGTCATTCTATGGTACCAAATATCAGACTTGTGCCAAGGGAAGGGCTATTTGCAAGAAATGATTATTTTTCCTGAATACAAGGGAGCTGATTGTCAAGGGATGAAGTTGACTATAGAACATGGACTTGCTGGTTTCCCCATTAAATTGATCTGTCAATATGTCAGGCTAATGGAACTTGAAAAGAGAGAAGACTTGGGAGTAGATGACAATAGGGCGGAGCCAGACAGTAAGTCCCATAACCTTCGCATTTGCCAAAGTCTTGGAATTGACCAAACCAAAAATGAAAGTTACTGTGGGGGCAAGGGGGAGAAGGACACAGCTGCTGCATTTATGTCTTTTGCAACATGCTCAAGCTCTGAAAAAACAGATCAAACTAATTTAGTAGAGACCTAAAATCTGAAGAGTGGGTTACAATACGTTTTCACTTATATAAACCTTGTCTTAGAAAAATATGTAAACCGGATTACAGAATCTTAATCCTCAATTCTACCTGTCTAAAAGGTCAGTGGTACCAAAAGCCATTGAGAAATCAGGAGAACAGGTAGAACCATAATTTCACAATGGCTTTCTCATGGCTAAGATTATCCCAAATTTCCAAGAAAAGGATATTTACAACTTGAGATAATGATCTCAAATAATAATTTGATATTATAATCTACAGGTTCTAAAGGCTTCTTTAGAAGTAGTTTCACTACTCTTTCCTTTAAATCATCAGTGACTGAACTATCTGTGCTAGATAGCATTGGAAGAATACATAGGCCACAAGGCAGTCAACCACATGTTAACCTAACATATTGTGGAAACCCAGAAAATGTGGTTGAGTAAACCATAGTTAAGAAACCAGCTCATAGCAACAGAGAAGTACCTTCCTTAGGATCACTGTAATTGATTAATAGGTTTACTTCAAGTTGAACTTGATGGTGATTTCATGGATAAGTCTCTGTAGTTTTCTTGGTGGCAGCAATTCAGAAATGGTTTACCACAGCCTTTTTGTTTTTGTATTTGTTAGTCTAGCTCTGAGTTCTAGTACTTCCTCCCATCCAAGGCCTCCCATCCAAGACATAGCCAGGTTTGACTCTGGTTTGCTACTGAGCCCAGACAAGATGAACCAGCCGCTGCCACTGATTGAGGCAATTATGTTTATAAGAATTGAGAGAGCTAGCAGAACAAGAAAAACATTGGAATGATATCATATTGTGAAGCAGAGAGAGAAAATACAGAAAGCCAAGTTTCCTGAATTTCTGAGTAAATAGATGTTTTCTTTGAAATTCTGAGGCCTTTCTTCATGTGAATATACATAAGCAGTGGTGTCAGCCATATGAAAATGAAATCTACAATCCATAAAATGGCAATAACTCTGCCTTGATCTACGATATCACAACACTGTGTTCAAGCTGTCAAATTCCATTTGTTAAGATGGTAAACAAAAGAAAAAAGAAAGGGGTTACTTTTGAGCCAGGTGCATTTATTGAAACTCTGAGATGAAATGTGGGAGCAATCTGCAAATGCAAAAGATTCTGAATATTTATATATTTAAAGATATGTGCAAGTCAATGGAATATGAGGTATCTGTATGGTACTTGTGCTGGATTTGGACTGTGGGAGATACTTTTAAGGAAACTGACCTAAACAACTAATCCAGAAATCATAACTTAGCACAATGAGCAACCAAGCCTCATAAAGTCTACAATATACAGATATAAGGGACTTAATTCATATTAGAATTTGCAAAGACAAAGCAATATTTTGAAATCTTGAACAACTGAGGTAAAATTCACAGCAGGTTTACACATTCCACTAAGCCATGACATGTTTTGCTTGATTTTGGCATACTTTAGTCTGTTGTCTGAACCCAGAGCTTGTGATTGTAAATCATGGCTTAATATATTGTACCAGCTCAATTAACAATGGTTTATTCATCAAATCATAGTTAACAAATGCTATATAGGAACTTTAAACTATTCTGGCTGTTATTTTATTACTGTAATTATTATTCAATTTTTAATCTGAGGTGTAATGTGGTATAAGCCACTTAAGCAAAATTTGGTTTTGAAGGGTGTCATACAACCTTTGAAAATGAACTAGAAGATACCTGAACCCTCTGTTGTTCAAGAGAAACAAATTTGAAAGAACATAAACCTATTTCTCTTTGCTCCGGCTGCTATGCCTGCCGAGATTCTTAGTAGTTAATCACAGCTATGTTAAAATCTTGGATTTCCTCATCACTGTATATTGACCACTCTAATTTCCTTTTCGAGCGATTTTTAGCAAGTCTGCACTCTGGATGCAGAAACAACCTATGGCGATGGCTCTGCCCTTTCTATATATCGTAAGGAGCTACAAGAAAGAGATACGTTTTCTGAAGCCAGTTTCATTCTCTCAGCTTGTGAAGTAGAGCCATAGGCATTGCCCATGGAAAACCCGAGGCTTATCCTGCAACATTACTCAGTAAGATCCCGTAAAAGCTTCCTATTAATGTTCACCTCGATGATTGCCTACCCTTGCCTTAAGCTGGGGACAGTTCTCCAAGGGACCAAATTCAGAGGGGTAGCATTCGCTATCCTCTTCTCTGCGGTACTCCTGTGTCTAACCGGGGAGAACATTATTCAGACGTCACCTACCGAGGAATCTACCCACCTTCCTTGCTTCTCCACGAACACAGAAACGAGTAAATCAAGAAAGACCGGAAATGGGCGGGGAGCGGATTGGCCACGCCTCTCGCGAGTGACGCAATCATTTCTTCCCGCCCCTCTTTAGCAGGTTTCGCGCTTGGCGGCTTCGCATCCCTGTCAGTCCCGTCTTCGGCAGTGGAAGAGCAAGATGGCGGCCCGGGTGAGTGAGGCGATGAATGACTGAAGGCGGGGGCAATGACGTGTCAGCGAGATACCTTCTCCCCTCCCTTTTCCTTCTCAAATTATTGAGGACGTATTGTTTTAAGAGCCCTGTTTCCTTCCCCCCTATTTGAGTGGTCTCTCTGTCCGTTTTTAGTTGGACCGACGGGACCTGAATCCAGAGCCTAATTAAAGGATTGGGGGGGGATAGTGGCAATCGCTGTCCTCCAGATTAATAAAACTCAAGGGATTGATAGGGAGATCGTCGATTACAGGAATGGTCCTCCTATCGTTTAGTGTGGGATTTGCTTAATAACCCTGGACAGTTTCCGTACATGAAAGTAACAACAACCGCAGAATAAAGGCATTTATTACACATTTACGCTCCCTCTGTGAGAACCCTCACGGTGGGTTATAAAGTAGCATCTCTTCACTAGCTTTTAGCAGATTACAATCCCCCTCCCCCATTTCTTAGGTTCAGATTACTGTAGTGAATTTACAACAAGGAGAGCAGAAGGGAGGGTGAACCTCGTTTCCATTTTCCTGAAATAAAGGGTTTTCAAAAAACTTGGCAAAAACTTCCCTTTCTCCCCCATCTGTTACTCTTAATTAAGGCACTGCAGAGAAAGGTGAAGCTTCACTGTCAGTGCTGAAATGTTTTTCCGTGTAACAAATATTCATTGATGGCCTCTGGGTAATTAGCTCTTGTTGTTATGTTACTTCCTCCATTTGGAACAGGAGGATCTGGTGGGTGAAAAGGTGGGAGGGTCAAGCTGTTGATGCAGTTCACACTTTTACTGCAATGTACGTTTGGCTAGTGACAGAGCACTCTGCCTTCAGATTCTACAGTGATGCTGCTAACCAAGTGAAATACTGCTGTTTTATTTTCCAGTGGCTCAACCTGTGCCTGGCACTTTGTTTCCTAGAATTAGGAGTACAACAGAAATGGGTTAGAAGTGCAGTAATTGAGAAAAGGATAATTTATTTATTTAAGGTTTGTCTGTCCTTTCAATAGATCATTTTAAACATCACCAAACCTTATAGACTTTGGCTACAACACTTCTATTTGGAAAAGGACAAGAATGTTGATTACAATCCTAGCAGAATAATTTTCTCACTTTCTGTGTATTATATCATTTTCAGGTAGCTTCAGGAGGAATACTAAAGCAATAAAATAAACATAACATACAGATCTATACAAAAAACAAAATTGTTGTGAATTTAGCTATGGTATGAAAAATTTTGAAATCAGATCTCTAATTTTATGTAAAATAATTCAGACATGCCAGTGTACATCTGAATATTCCATTAGTTAATGGTGAAAAATCTGTTTCTTGAGCCTTGTGAAAATCTGAGGGCTCTTTCACACAAGAACTTTGTACTAGTTCAGAACCAGCTCCAACCTGTGCTGTCACATGTTGGCTGGTTTGGAGAGCGAAACCCCCCTCTCCCTTTCCTTCCACTTTTATTAATATGCTATCCCTTCATCAAAGGCTTTTAAGTGCAGTGAAGAAATGGTGGGAAGGCAACTTGGATGTTTCTTTCTTTTTTGCAATGGTTTCCCCTTAGGACAAAATGTATGGGAGAACATCTAAATTTGTTTTATATTTCATTTTTGCCTGGGGTATGTGTGTGAGGGAATTTTTATGACTTCAGACAGCATGCAGAGGGTCAGCTGGACAGAACATTCTTTGGCATATGCCTTGAGTCAGTTACTGTCAGTTTTCTGAATTTTAGTCCTCACATTGCTACCTGCATTATACTTGTATGCTTTGTGAACCAGTTTTCAACCCTGATCCATTCTCATGAAAACAGCTGCTAGTTAGAGCATTCAGGGAGAGGGAGCTGAGACGGTGGAGGGGCTAGCAGGGCTGAATGGGGAGGAGGCTCTGGTCGTTTTATATGGGGAAGCTGCAGTGGACTGCACATTGAGAATTAACAGTATAGAGCAGTGTTTCTCAACCTTAGCAACTCTAAGGTGTGTGGACTTCAATTCCCAGAATTCCCCAGCCAGCCATGCTTAGAGTTGCCAAGGTTGAGAAACATTGGCATAGAAGATATGCAGAAATGTTTATCAGTCTCAAAATGGTGATGATCATGCCAATGATAGCCATAGAAACGTGTCCATCATTCAATAAAGAACTCATAAAATAGTCTGGGAGTTTTCACATTTCAAGAAGTTTCTATCCAACAAGATAGGATAAAGCATCAAAAAAGGGTGACTGCAGGGGATTTGGGTGCTGTTTAAACTATGCAGAAGTTTGAAAAGATACATATGATAGCAATGCTGTATTTGTTTCAGTCTAAAGAAACTGGACTCACAATGCCAAAAAAATTGTTCTGGCAATTTGCCATATAAATCAGCATATAGTCATCCTGGAAAGGAAATCCAAAGGACACACAGGCTCCCCAAAAGATAAGCGGGTTCTGCTTGATCATTCCTAACTGAGATGCTATCTTTTAAATGCATCTGTTTAAATGGACATTGAACATGAACTTGAAATACATACCAATGAGCAATTATGAGTGATAGGTATCTTGTTGTTTTCTTTGCGAGGCTTAAGATTTGTATGAAGGGAAAAATACTTTTTTTCAAATATGGATGGATGTATTCCAAGAGTAAATGGAGTATGTATGTATTGAAACTTCTGCAATTTTAGTCTCAACCAGCCTAGCAAATAAGTAGTGGAGATTGTTGACCTTCTGTTTCACCCAAATTAGTTCTTCTCGCTTTCCTTGTGCCCACGTTGTTTACATCTTTTCCCAGCCTGGGTATTAATCTCAAGTATTTCTTTAGGCTCTGATATGGGGTAGATCTACATGCATAGTCTCCATTGCTCAGGCTTTCATGAATCAAACGTACATCATATGGACCAGCTCTTTCAGGCTAGAACTAAGAAGAGTATTCAGAGGCATCACGACTGAGCAGGCTTTCCTAACCTAGTGCCTTCCAGTTCTTTGGGACCATAATTCCAATCATCCTTACCCACTGGTATGTAGGCTGAGAGTGATGAGATCTGTAATCAAAACAGAGTGGCATCAGGTTTGGAAAAGAGCAGATTTCTGACTTGGAATTTTTCCTGGACTTGCTAATCATGGCCTAGGGAGGCTTTGCCCAGCTTTGATGGGCAAGTTGCAGCCATTTTTTGAAGCAGGAGGTCTTGGAGACCTTGTGACTTCAAGGTTGGGTTACTGCAATGTACTTATTTAGGGCTGCCTTTGAAGAGTACCCGGAAAGTACAATTAGTGCAGAATGCAGTAGCCCATTTTTTAGCAGGTGAGAGCTGCTTCTGCAGTATAGCAACAGTTTTGGGGGTCCTACTTTGGTGGGTGGGGTGAGGGTTTGGAGGCAAATGTTCTTGTTGCTGCCCCTTTCTTATGGTCAGGTTTAGATGCAAAAATGAACTTTATTCAGGATTATCCTTCTTATCTACTGTAGAATTTTTAAACTTTTGGAATAATTATTTTCACGTCATTATTTTATTGTGCCTCCATTTGCATCCTGTATCATCATGATAAACATCACCAGATGACAATAAATGTGATGTGTTGTTTAGAAAGATATACAATATGGTCATTTCAATATAATACCACAGATTAAAGGCAGTAAGAATGTAACTCTAGAATCAACAATATAAGAAATTCTGCCTTAGGCATGAAAGCCAGCTGGGTGACTTTGGGCCAGTCACTCTCTCTCAGCCCAACTCACCTCACAGGGTTGTTGTAGTGGGGAAAATAGGAGGAGGAAAGGAGTATTAGGCATGTTTGCCACCTTGAGTTATTTATAAAAATAAAAGTAAATCAAAAAAAAATTCACAGTGATAAGCAGTGAATTAGACTGTTGGATCAAGGAGATCCAAAGCAATTTTTCTATTTAATGAAGTTCACTGTATGATTTCTAGCCCAGTTTTACTTAGGCCTACCTTGCAGGGTTGTTGTATGGACAAAATAAGGGAAAACTAATAGAAACAGCCTTTTCTGTTTTCAGGGAATCGTGAAATATAAATTTGAGAAATAATACTGAAAGCATTGGGGAAAATTTTTAAAAAAGGCTCTTGCTTGGCACCAAAATGATATTGATGTAGGTGCTGGCATACCTTCTTGAGGAGATGATTCTGCAAGAGAATAGCCACATGTTGTACCTCAGATGATTGAGAAATCTGGGAAAGAGCCTGTCATGAAGATCTCAGTGTGTGGATAACTGGCCAGTCCTTCAAGTACCTGTTTCTAAGCCATTAGAGAATTTTGAAATCAATGGACTATTAAATTATTCTTTGAAGGCAGCTGTTTTGGCCTCTCTTTGAGGTCAACCTCAGCATGTACTTACTCTGCTATTTATCTTGAGTTATCCAAGCAGCATGTTTGCATTCCTTCTTTTCTTCTGCAATATCATATGCAGAAATATTGTCATCTGTAAGATTGTAGGATTCCCTCTTAATGTACCTGCTGTTTTCCTTGTTCCCCTTTCTTCTGTTGTTTCTACTTCTTGCCTGTCAAAATACAGTAAAGACTTTCTTCTGTTTCTTAATGCATTCTGATTTTACTGACTATGAAATAAAATGACTTTTCTGAGTAGCTATTGATGCAGATATATTTATCAGAGAGGTACCTGTTGACATCATAACATAGGTTGTCCTGCTGCCCAACCTGACTTCATACTTCCTACTTCCATCAGGCCTATAGTACTGGTTGAAATCCATAACTTTCCAGGAGCTAAATGGATGTTTTGTGGGAAGTTGTAGCTTGTTTCTTCATAAGGAGGGTTTATAGGAATCACACTGCATTTTTATTTCAGGGTGGTCTATGCTTGTGGACTTTTGCTTCTGCATTTTGGATCTCTCAAAGTTGCAGAGCTCCAAGATAATGGTTTTGTCTATAATATTCTTGTTCTTTACCTAGAATTAACGCATCTATGCTCAGTGTCCTGAGTGGGGAAAGAGAATGCAGCAGCAGATTGTGCATAGCTATTGCATAAATAACTATATGGCTTCTGTATCATAT